AAATGTAGATCTGTCAAAGTGGTCAAAAGATGATTTCAGCACTGGTTTGATTCCTGATGACATCGCCGATTGCAAATATTTTGCCGGCAAGCCTGTGGCGACCAAAAATTTTGGGTTGTGTTTCGCTGCGAAGAAAACATTGTATTGACACTTTTTGGCGACCACATTTTTCCATATGGCGACTGAAAAAAAAATTTCAGTAACGAGTTGGCGCCTGCCGAAAAAAGTTAATTTCGGACCCTGGTACATGTAATAAAACAGTTGAATACCAGGTATGATCGGGTGAATGACATAAGTTGTATAACTGATGTGAGAGAAAAGCTGTTAACGAATAATTTTCAATTTAACAAATTGATGTCAGTTTCTCATGAGTCTGTCTTGTAATTGATCACGAACTTCGACATAACACTGTCAAAGTGGCTGTGGATCCAAAAGTTGATAGCTGAGTGGATCCGTCGTCGAATCTGACAAAATTCATTGCCAATAACAGAACAGACACATGAAAAACTGACATAAATTTGTTTTTTATGATAACAAATTGCCAAATTGTCTGCTCTCGCTCATTGACGCACAGCATAAATTATAAATTCATGTGTCTGCCCGCTTTTTGACAATGAAAATTAGCCAATGAATTTCTGCAGTTATCTTAAAGAACATTTTCTTAATCAAATTGTTGTAGAAGGCTTATGAGCCAAGTAGTCTATCACGCCAGAACTTATATCCGGTTTCTGTCGCACGAAGCAACTAGGAGTATTTGTAATCCCCCTGGATGGGATGCTAATCCATCAAAGGGAATCATAGTAGTAGTAACTGCTTAAAATATAATTACATTATATTTTGGGACCTGCTATGCAAGTGCAAATAATTTGTAACTTGATATTTACACAAATAATAGTTTGTAGCATGACATTTATACAAAAACAGGTTTGGCTGCCTTGGCTACAGGTAGCCAAATTCAGTTAATAAGGGTTAATATAATAAATAATAGTTACTCATTTGAAACACAATAATTTTATTAATGTCTATGAATCATTAAGTAATAATATTGTATCAGGAAAAGTCCTACATATAAGATGCTTTAAGCATCATTGAAAGTAATGCTAAATTTAAGAGAAAGTTCTATAACCCATTCACGAATGCAAGGCTCTTCATAAAGTTTGAAAGCATTTACCGGCATGGCAGATAATCAGTATAAGTTTTAAAGTTGGATTTCACATTTGTCGAATTTAGTTTGCACAGTTAATACAGGTAAATAAATCTGAAGTAATGAAGAATATTAGATCATCGCTAAAAGGAAGATATTTTGCGTGTCAACTTAACCTTTTTATCCCCTGAGAAGAACCTTATTTTTTTGAAATAATAACAGTAGATCAAAAGACCGCTAGTAATATACCAGTTGAAAGGCATTGTTTAGGGTATGGCCTAAACCACCAAAACAGACATACAAGATGTCACAAATTCAATTGAGGAGTCTGCGAAGTGAAAAATGAAAACGTTCAACAATACCTTATTCCTCGTATATATTGGGTATACCCCAAAACAATAGCTTAATTTGTAGTTCTGGGTGTGCAGACTTTAATCAGATTAATTTGAGGGGTGGTTAATCTGATTCAGGAGGAGGGTATGATTTTATGCTTCCAATGTGAAGATCTCTCAAAGATCCTTTTGGTGTCCAAGTTTGACACAAATTGGTCAAATGTTAAGCATATTATAAGACAATATAATTATTATTTTACTGGTATTTACATGTACAATATAACAAAAGTGGCAAAAATCTGAAATTATTATATTTGTGATACAAGTAAAATATCCTAAACTGGACAACTTAGGCACAGTATGCCAATGTCCATGGTTCCAAAAACATATAACTTGCCATTATATATATATATATATATATATATATATATATATATATATATATATATAACATGCAATCAGTACACGGTCACAGATACCTTTCAGTTTGTCAACGAAGTACAAAGCCTTGAGATCAACAGTATCATAAGATGTCACCTCTTTATTTACCAATGTACCACTGGATGAGACTATCCAGATTTTAGCTGACAAGGCTTTCAATGATGATTGGTTTAACAACACCCATGAACTAAACCTGTCCAGAAACCAGCTAATTGAACTACTCAATGCAGCCACTAAGAACCAACTCTTTCATTTCAATGGAAATCTCTATGAGCAAACAGATGGCGTCGCCCTCTGCTCGCCAACGTTTTTATGTGCTCCTTTGAAGATAAAGTCGATCAAGATGGCAAACTGCCCTCCTTTTATCGACGATATGTGGATGACACCTTTACCATCATGCCCGATATAGCATCAGCCGGAATTTTCCTTGACACCCTATACCACTGCCACCCATCAGCAAAGTTTACTATGGAGGTGGAAAGGAATTCCTCGCTTCCTTTCATCGGTATTGAACTGTTAAACTTAGCTCCCAGAATCAAAACCAAGGTCTACGTAAAACCAACTAATATGGACCTCTTACTCCACTACCAGAGTCACGTGGATAATCGGTACAAGTGCAGTCTAATTACCACCAGGCTTGATCGAGCTTACCGCATATCTTTCGACTGGTCTTACTTCTCACAAGAATGCGATCGACTTGAGACCTTATTCTTAAAGCTTAAGTACCCGAGGCACTTATTCAATTTGGCTGGCAAGCAATTCGTAGATTCCAAGGTAGCAGACCAGCAGCACATTCCATCAACCGAAACGACTACACCCAACATCCGAGTTATCATACCATTGAAAGATCGGGCCGCTGTTAATGTAGTGAAGAAACGTCTCACAGACCTCGGCTCAAAAATCAAGACCACAATTCAGCCCGTGTTCATCAGCAGAAAACTCAACGAAGACCTTAAAGTTCGAGAAGTCAAGCCAGCCACTGTTAACCAACAATGTCTAGTTTATAAATTGCAATGTAACCTGTGTGATGCAGGATATGTTGGTTACACTCGCGGCCACCTCCACGAAAGCGTTGATGGACACAAACAAAAATCGTCGTCAATTTGTAAACATTATTTGAGCAAACATAACTCGAACGTACCTCCTTGTCTTTCAGAACAATTTCACGTGCTTACTTAATGTTCTAACAAATTTGATTGCCTAATCAGGGAGATGCTTTTTATAAGAAAACTTAAACCAGCCCTAAACGTGCAAACGGACTCGATTGGCCTAAAGGTATTCACTAGTGATCCTTTGTTATTTTGCTAATTCGTAGAGACTAACGTTAATATTTGCCAGCTTATGTTTTAAGAAATCGTTGATAATAATAATAATAATAATAATAATAATAATAATAATAATAATAATAATAATAAAAGGACTTTTTAAACAGGATAAACCTATTAGTACAAATTCAAAGGGGTCCTGTAAAACTTAAAACAAATAAATCTAAAAACCTAAACAACTATATCAGTAAAAAGAACATATAAAAATCACATTTAAAAATTACCTATAAAATCTGCAAATAAATAAAAAAAATTCGTTGATCTTTTGCCAAAATCAAACTCTAGAATTCATATTTCTAACCTATAATGTTAAGTTATTGTATTAATCATTATGGCACGGTTTATAAATACACTGGACAGCATTTCAGAACTCACCTTGGGAACCATTCACTTTACTGTAAATACGAACGTTGGAGCTCGAACTAGCTCAGTATAAACTTTATGGAATACTTATTTGAGGAAGTAAATTGTTACCTGAAATAAATTCAAGTTTGTAGAAAGATTGGATTTCTTTTAACATGATGGCAATATGTATTTGCCTTAACAATCTTGTGAACAGTTCCTTGCTACTGTAAAGTATAATTCCGTATTTACAACGTGCTTTGTTAGTGGAGGTCAGGTGACTTGGGACTGGAAGAGGTTGGCACTACAACCCTAGCTCTCCCCTTTTGAAAACTAACTATGTGGCTGACAGTACCTGGTACGTGCTGGGCATCCGTACCGTTAAAAATATTGCGGTACAAAATAAAATAATGAGATTACGTAAATTAAATGTCCCATATGTACTAATGAGGGAATGATGATGAACACACCTTAGGATGCCCAAGTCTCGTCACAGCACACTGCTCAAATGCAAGACAAACTACAACCACGTGATGAAGCTGAAGAGACAACCACCCTTTGTTGCTTGGCAGCTAAAGCTGCTGACTGCTAACAATATGGACACAAGAAGACCGCCAACTGCTAAACATGTTAACAGCTCAGAGAAAAACAATCCCTAAAACCTCCCCAAAAAATAAACGCCACCATGGCTTGCTCCTGATGAATAACTTTGCTGAATTGTATCGAATCCCATGGTCAACTAGTGCCCTAAAGATCTTGACTCGACAGAACCTCGAGCTCAGGTTAAGTCTGCATACGAGCCAAGTGGCCAATCAGGCTGTCGCTTATCCCAATTTCTGTAGCATGAAGCGACTAGGAGTATTTCTGCTCCCCTGGATGGGATGCTAGTCCATCGCAGGGTTACCCCCAGCATAAAATTCGCCAGTACCCATTTATACACCTGGGCGGAGAGAGACATTGTGAGAGTTAAGTGTCTTGCTCGAGAACACAACCCAATGTCCCCGGCCAAGGCTCGAACCCGGACCTCTCGATCCGGAGACGAGTGCACTAACCATGAGGCCACCATGCTTCCACAAAACCTCGAGCTTACTAAGTAGTTAATAGTTATTAAGAATTTCGAAACACATTTTGATCTTTAGAAAACCGTCTTTCGTATCTTGACTTAGCACGTTTTTAACTTCCATCTCACAGGTTATCAAGACTTTAAAGCTTGCTCTTCAGCCGGTAATCTCAGATGTAAACATAGTCTGGGACCTAGCAAAAGGGTGGACTGTGCACCAGATCCCCTCGTCTCTTCCTCCTCTCTTCAGTGGTGACGGGCTCGTGGTGTATGGTGTTCTTAAGGCTTCAGAAAATGCAAATGAAGGTGATGACAATGAAGTTAGGCTGGAAGGAATGCTTGGAAATGATGAGAAAATGCAACATTCGGTCAAGTTCTCAACTCCACCCATTGCTGTTGAAAACAAGGGAAATGTTCTTCTTCATCAGTTGGCAGCCAAGAGTTTCATTCAAGAAAAGCAAGATGGCTACAGCGAAAAGAACGATGTGCAAGAGATTGAAGAAGCCAAAAGGTGTACTATCAGCATCAGCAAAACAGCCAATGTAGTGTCAAAGTTGACATCGTTTGTGGCTGTTGATAAAGGCAGTAATCAGCCTGTATCAGGACCCTTGAGAAAACACTTTGTACCCTCCTATCAAAACGTAGCTTGCAGTATGCCCATGGCCCGTGCCCGTGTCATGAAAAAGTCTGGTTTTGGATTCAGCTTTTCAAAGTCGAGGACAAAATCTTCAGCCAGGAAAACAAAATCTAAAGGGCTTTTCTCTTCGCTATTTAGAAGGAAAGCAAGTGCAGTCCCGGAAGTACAGTCCTTGAAGTACAGTCCCGAGCCAGCGGCGGAAGAAAAACCCTGGACTGTTAAGTGTGCTCGTCGCACGGAAAAAGAATTTGATGGAGGTTTTGAGAAATCCTTATGTCCCCCTCTTGATCCAGATAGGATGTCTCAGGAAATGAAGGAAGCCCCAGCAGCCTTGTCGGTAATATCTTTACAGGAAGCGTCAGGCTCATGGGATCTCACAGACCAACTGGTGTCACTGTGCGGTACAAGCAGAGATGCTTTGATCAAAGGATGCCCTAAAGAGATTGCAGCTGACACAGGTGAAGGGAAGCTGTTGTGGGCCACTGCTCTGGCTCTGGTGCTGTTGATGGGCAAGTTCTTGGATCAGAAGGATGAATGGGAAATGATTGCTGAAAAAGGATCAAAATGGATCAAGAAAAATCTTCCAGCAGGTGTCAAATACGACAATGTACTGGAGGCCGCAGCGACTACAGTTTCTGTTAAAATTTATTAGATTGGTATTAAGAGTCTGATCCTTGTTGTTACACAATTTTCACTGGCCTGTTTGGCGATACAGAAAATTGAACATTTAAAAGTTTCTTATTTCATCGTTTGTAAACTGTTAGTACTGTTGAGGTTTTTGGCTCAGAGAGCACGGATGGAAATTTTCTGTACGAAGCACAATGGGACGACTAGATTTCGAAGATATTGTCAAAGCGTAGCTGGTATCGAAAACGTTAAACAAATCAATGTTGTGTTTATTATTACATTTAATCTTGAACAATTAGCACTTTTGACACCACCGTTTGTAGTGCAGTATTTGTCACGGTAGTGCCAACATCAGCCCCGGGTTTTTGGTGTTCCTGGCAGGGTTTTATGTACATTGTAATTCAGGCGATTTTTCTTTTCTTTTTCTTCATTCGAGGAAAGCTGATAGTGCCCTGGAGTGAAAAGAATCACCAGCATGCATTGAAAGCCAGCTTGTACACTGGACAGAATAAAGTAAAGTTCAGCATGCTTAATATTTAGCGTGATTTCCAGTTTGTTTGCTATACACCTTATTAAACTAATTGTTTCACCATACAACTTTTTCAAGGAAGGTTGTCGAAAGACAGCATAAATCTACGTACTAGTGGTACACATTCTCTTGTTATCCCTCGTGTTAATACCACTAGATATGGCCTGCATGCACTCTCTATCTTACTACGGAAGTAAACCATGGAACTCCCTCCCCAATACCACCAGGTCACTGCCAACAGTTACAGCTTTCAAATCGGCCATTCGTAATTTAGAATTTGACACTGACGGCTGTCCCTTCTGTAGATAGTTGTAAATGGTTTGATGCCACTGCATTAATTACGTAATTGTACATATTGTAATTTTATATACCTATTTTATTATTCCATATCCATCTTAATTTATTTGTTCATTTATTCACTTTCTCGAAGATATTAGCAATTGTGCTATAGGTGAAATAAAGGTTGTTGTATTTGTATTGTATTGAAAGAAAGCGTTGTAGCAACGGCAAAGTACGGAACAAATTTAAATCAGCGTCCAGGGGGCCGTTTCTCGAAAGCCCCAGAAACTTTTCGGGCCAGCAGAGCCATTTTTAGTTGGTCTGTATCTAACAACGGAGGAGTGTATACGCCTGAAACTTCTTGTATGAAGGGAACCTCTGTTCATATTAAGAATACGTGAATAAAACAGCTGTGTAATCCTAAGGTTTGAGATTTTGCTATGGCTTTCCGGCTGCGAACACTTTTCGGGACCTTCGAGAAACGGGCCCCAGAACCCGAGATACCGAAAGCGAACAGTAAAGAGTAAAGTGGCGGCCAACATAGATGACATACTTTTTTGGGTAAAATAAACTATGCAAACTGCACACTGGTCCATGGATCATGATCACTGATCAAGAATGACAAAGGAAACCCTTAAGTCAACCCCTAAAACAACCCAACAAATTTCTCAATGCTCGTCAATGCACACAAACAATAATAACTGCTTTATAATAATAATAACAGCTTTATTGAAGTGTCAATGTATTAAGTATTAACTCCTAATTAGGGACACAACAAAAGAGTTAAAATTATTTACAATTAAATAAGTAAAAAACAAATCAAAAAGCAACTTTTCCAATCCTCATAAATACAGTAAAGAGCCATCAAATGACGTTTTGTGATCCTCAACAGACAGCGTAACCTTTATTCCCCAATACTCAGACTTCTCACCATCCTTCCCATCAAACTTCCAATACTCACAGGACTGTGCAATACTTTAACAACCAAATAGTCTGTATTCACCTCCACGGTATTTCTTTTGCATGTCAAACTAAACCCAAACCAAATAATCCAGCGCTCAAACATTGTCAGGGAATTAATTGAACTTGATCACAAACCATGAGTAACCTTTCAGTGAAGAAACTTCCTACCACATCAAAAATGACATTTTACTCTACTAACAAAGCAAAATGAACGATAGCGATGGTGTAGAACAATTTAGGCCCAACTACTCAAGTCGGTCAAGTAAGGTCGCCCTGGGATGTAGCAACATAGTCCACAAACTGATTGTAGAAACAGTGCATCTCAGTTAAACTACTCTGGTTCCAACCAGCCTGACAAACATTGCACTGCTTTACAAATAATTTAGATATGAAGGCTCCGACTGTAGTTTCAATCCTTGTCGGGACATTTTTAACGCAAGTTAAAGCGAAGCCTCGATGGCCATACCTTTTTTTATATTTTACGGAAGTACCGGTTTCAAACTAGGCGAGACTTTATTTGCAAAAGCAACAACGACAACAACAACCAGATTTTGTAAGTGTCCAATGTCAGAGGAAAATGTAGTTTTGATCTTTTGCTCGCACATTTCACAGGCTCTTTGTTTGGCTTCAATAATGTACTCGGATCAAAAATGTCTTTTCTCACGTTCATGTGTGATTCTTCACAATAATAGCTGAATAACTGAGTAACTAAACATCTGTAAATTAACCTTGTTTATGTTTATATATATTTTGCACTTTTACTCAACAGGTTATCAAGACTTTGAAGCGTGCCCTGCAACCGGTAATCTCAGACGTGAACGTAGCCTGGGACCTAGCAAAAGGTTGGACTGTGCACCAGATCCCCTCATCTCTCCCTCCACTCTTCAGTGGAGACAGACTGGTTGTGTTTGGTCTTCTAAAGCCATCCCATGGTAACGAGGCGGATGAGGCTGCCGTGGCAGGCAAAGAGACTAAGACCCATGCAAGACTTCGAGGGTCACTTGGTAACAGCGCAGCAATAGATCACGTGATTCGTTTTACTGCCACGCTCGCAAAGGATCATGACCAGGCCCGCCACGGAACTTTGCACTGTCTGTTAGCCAAGAGCCTTATTCAAAAAAAGCAAGAGGAGTACCATGATGCAAGCCGACGCTGGAAAAACGGTGAAATGGAAGCGATAAAAGATTCAGTTATAAGCACAAGTAAAGCAGCAAACGTGATTTCGAAATTGACGTCATTTGTTGCGATTGACAAAGATAATCACCAGCCGGTGTCAGGTCCAATGAAAAATCCAATACATATGGTTTTTCATGAAGCCTATGACAGTTTAATTCTAGATTGCTGCAGTTCTGATGATGAAGAGGGCTTGGAGTCTGAGCTGCTGGATGAAGAAATAGATATCAATTGTGGCCTAGCTGAAAACAAAAAATTGTTTGATCTTGAAGGTGAACAACACCTTTGCGTGGCTCTTCCTCCACTTCCTCCTCCTCAGGTGCAGAAGAGGAAAGATGGTCCACCAGTCCTAGCACTTATAACGCTTCAGAAAGCGTCAGGCTCATGGGATCTCACAGACCAACTGGTGTCACTGTGCGGTACAAACAGAGATGCTTTGATCAAAGGCTGCCCCAAAGAGATTGCAGTTGACACAGGTGAAGGGAAGCTGTTATGGGCCACTGCTTTAGCTCTGGTGCTGTTGATGGGCAAGTTCTTGGATCAGAAGAATGAATGGGAAATGATTGCTGAAAAAGGAACAAAATGGATAAAGAAGAATCTTCCAGCATCTGTCAAATACGAGAATGTCCAGGCGGCTGCAGCGATTGCCGTTTCTGTTAAAATTAATTAGACTGATCCATGTTGTGGCATTGCAGCTAGCGAGTATTGAAAATTGAAAGTTATAGGGACACATTTAAATTAAATCTTATAGTTACGCGAAGTATCAATATTTTTTTCTTAGAAGGCTTTTTGACTTGTTGTAGTCATAAGTTAATACTCACGGGCCCTAGAAATACCGGCCTATTGCTGAAAGAGTCACCTTGTATAATCATAAGGCTGTTTGGTGCCCCAAACAAATCAACAGTTAAAAGTTCGTAATTTTGTTTAAACTGTTTGTGTTTTCGGCTCTGTAGGTGTACGAAGCATAATGGAACAACAAGGCTTTTAAAGATACTTGAGCATATTTGTGAAGAGTAGTTATTATCGAAAATGGAAACAAATTATTGTTGCATTCATCATTGCGTCTGGTTTGTGAGTAAATCTTGAACAATTAACATTTTTGACACCACCGTTTGTCACGGTAGTGCCAACATCAACCTTGGTTTTGGTGTTCCTGGCTGAGTTTTAGTGCGAAGTCCGAAGGACCGAGAACTATCAAGATTAGAATGTTTAGCAAGGCACTTCGAGAAAGCGGAATCTTTTCCGAAAACGCGCGCATCAGATATCAATATTTTTAGCTGCTGGACAGAATATTAATATGATGACATACTTAATGACCGTAGAGAATAATGTTAACTTTGTTACTGTGCACTTGTTAACCTCTTGAAGAGACGGACAAGTTAGGCAAGCGGCCATTTTCTAAGCGTCCTAACCAAGTCATCGAGTGCAGACAAATTTACCGTGATGCTTGTAACCTAAAAAATTTAGTGATAATGACGTAAAATATAAATTTAACCCAGAAACAACAACAAAAAGAAAACCGAGGTACCTTCCAGAAGGGCCTTTTCTGTTTCATGTCAGTAAAGGCCCCACTAATTATATGTACGGCGAGGCTAAAGCATGCAATCCTGCACATGATTATAGGCGGGGTGCCGGAAATAGCTCGTATCGCCCCTTTATTTTTGTTGTTACCTGTTTTGCAGGTAAACCTGCGAAACACCTTATAATCAGTCGTAAACTCTATTGTTCAAAAGCTTCAAAACAAGCACCGAATATCAACTGATTCACTCGTGTTTGCCCATAGCAGTTAACGACAGTTCAAATACTTGTTTGTTTTTTATAGGAAGCAACATGACGGCCATTACCGACTTTCCGGCGCAGCAATATAAGGCCTAGAGAGATCGCATAATCACAAGGGGCTTCTAAATACGATCACCAGAAAGCTGGTCATTCAAGCAATTCAAAAAGAGCGTCAAACCCATCTTAAAACATTAATCAATAGTTCAGAGTTTCAGTGGACTTGCCAGTTACTGGCGTTATCGATCGTTCGCTAGTCCGTAGCTGACTTGGTATTTGGAATAAAATCAAAACAATACTTCAAAAGAAGTAAAGCCGTACCACACATTTGCCACAAGCTGGATATTTACAGAGGTCAAATTTAGCTTCATTAAATTATTTATAATTTGTTTCCCTGCGCGTTTTGCTGGTCTCATTTGTAGCAGAGTGTGGCTCCTTGCGAGGAGGCAATGTTTTGATCATTTGACGGCCAGAAAGGTGCAATCTTTTAATTCACTGAATTAATAGACATACTTCAGGAAAAGTTAGGTTGGATTCTCTAAAGATACTGGTAAGTTGAGCTATAAATTTAATGGTGTCTGTGGTTCATTGAGCCAAAGAAACCTTTAACTTGAATTGCTTCGAACAAAGTTTCGCTCTTAAAGCCGCTTCGCAATGCCCCAGTGCAAGTCAAAATATAAAAAGTCCAACGCTTGAAGCATGGGCAAAAATGATTACTATGAAGATTGGGCTTAAGATTGCGAAAGAGAAGAAAGCTTACTGGATTGATCAAATCAAGAGAAGACATGTTTTTGACGTTCCCAGTCACAAAGGCTCGGTCCCAAGTATCTGCTATTTAAACATTAATGCTCCTCATCAAACAATAGCTTTGACGGCATTTTTATTGAGCCAATACTCTCTCGATCTCTGTGGTTTTCCACGTGATGGGAAACTAAAATTTTGTCATTTTTCCAGAACAAGAAACAATCTATATATTCCACCCATTAAAAGGATCCCATCAACAAGTATAGCACCTTTCAAAATGTAAACTAAACAACTGATCAAGACAAGAGAAATGTATGGTGGTAAAAACGGGTACAGTCAGGACTTGCTGTGAAAAATAAAATCACAAATGAATCCTTTTGATTTTCAAAATCACACGACATATGAAGTGATTAACTCCTCGCACGTTTTTTTGAGTTTTTAAGATCATTGGGGCGAGCATAATAAGCTTTGACAAATGGAGGATTGTTCATGCAGCGTCCTGTAATGTCAAAATATTAATCCTCCTTTCTGTTTCTAGTATGTTTATCTTAACTATAGTGATGGGATTTTAATAGTACATCAAAACCATATCATTTGCCATAAATTGTGCTGGTTTTTTTTCGATAAAATCAGAAGTTATACTAGACATTTACCAATTCTTCGAATATTTTATTCCTTGGAAACCTCTTATTATTGTATCGCTTTCATCCAAAAACCTTCCTTATTTTCTCTATTATTCTTGTCATTCCTATTCAATACGTCTCTCAAAAATTTACAAAATACATTTAGTTAGACGAGCAAGAAGCTTAATACGTATTTTTACGCACGTGACCATCGTAAGGTAAAGTATTTGATTATTGTTTGAGCCTGACCGAAGAAGAGTATTCAATCAAGGCTGGGCACTTCATCGAGGGCGAGAATTACTAGAGATAATGTCCTGTTATTTAGAGGTTCACTGCCAACGTCTGAAATGCAAGGATATATATTTCCCGGCTTTCTTTTTTATCAGATTTAAGTGGAAAAGATATTGACACACCGGTAAATTCCTTACAATTAATTGTGATAATTAACAATTATTTACCTACATGTAAGTGGGGGTAAATATCCACTACTTTCGCCGACACTGAAGTGAATATTTGCTTTCATAGGCGTTAGGGCCGGGGAGGGCTGCAGTCCCCCCAATTACAGAAATTTTTCGGGCAAAACGCATAGGTAGCCCAAGCTCGATATATGAGAAGCTCCATTTTTTGTTGACCTCTGTACTGTCACGTAATTTGCGTGATTTGCCTATTTACAAGGGTTTGTACGGGAAGAGGAATAACGCCGAAAATTGCAAAATGTTACTGTTGAATTTTAATACTGTTGAATTTTACGCTCCTCACTATCTATTTTGTGATAGATTATGAGTAGCGTAGCAGTGTGCCCTTGTTAACAAAATGACGGCCGCTTCTTCGCTTCTTCATTTTACGAAGTGTCTGTGAAGAGGATTTAGATAAAGTTTTGAACGACTAGTAGATTTATACTAGGACAATTAGATTATTCGGTCTCGATTTGGATAGTTTATTATTTCCCTTGAAAAATTCTATGCTGTTAATGAACAACACTCCATTTAGCAGTTCTGTTTACAAACTTTAATCACATGACAACAGGGAAGGACAATCGATCTCATGATGTGAGCATAGCAACATGGCCAAACCGCTTGACAACAATCTCAACCAGATACGACCACCAGGCCCCTGGACTTGAGCGATGATACGTGATTTGAAGTTGAAGAAACAAAGGATAAATAGCGGATATGAGCAAAGGAAAAGGTTTGTATCATGGACATACTGCAATCCCGCGCGAAATTGTCGATATACCAAGTCTGAAAAATACACCGTACCTTTGAACTTACGATTGCTTTATTTTGACAATTAGAAGCAGGAAAAATTCAAGTTTACGTTCGGGTGCGTCCATTCACGGACAGAGAGAAAGAGAAGCGAGAAACTAATGCGATTGAGATTCATCAAGAACACTCACTGGTAAGAAACATGACAAACAGGTCCGCAATATGTATGTACATGTCATTTCTGTGGACTTTTTTTTGAACAAATGCTCAACATAGTCTTGTATTTGAACTCAGTCAGTGCATTGTTGTTTGGTTATTTACATAATCAGATACGAGTGTTGGATCCAAGAAGTCGGACAAACTATTTTTTTGATGGTGTGTTCAGCCCAGAAGCAAGCAATCAAGAGGTGAGGACGGCCGCAAAAGAATGTAAAGACCGTTACCTCAGTCGTAAAATGGTCCTGAAAATATTGTTATTAAAGAGCAGTCGCATTAAAGCTCACGTCAATCATAATCAAACAAGTGTTAGTTTTTATCCTGACAAGACAAGCGTGATAAGTGATTGAACTGGGTCAACAACCAGGATTTTACCAATTCTCTCCTCATGAGATTGCATGACACTTTTGGTCCTAGGAGTTCAATACAGCTCGACGTTCTGGCCCGGGTTGTTCGAAAGGTAAATAACACAATCCAAGAGACAAATCACTATCCAGTGGATAGCGTGGTTTGTTTTGTTAACACTTATCCACCGGATAGTGATTTCTCCGGTGGATAACATTATCCAGCCTTCGAACAACTGGGCCCTGGCTTTTTATCAGCTCTCGTATTTTTGGTTTTATCGCTAGAGTGGTTTTCAATTGAGTGTCGAAAGTAATCAGACAATTACTTTAGTTTTGGTTTTGGTTTTACTACGGTTTGAGATTGGCTGAGTAGTCTGATTGGTAAGTGATTGGTTTGGTTTTGGTTTTACGACACTCAATTGAAAACCGCTCTAAAGCAAACCACACGTTAAGTTAATCTTATGAATTTCACAATTTCCCGCAAAACAAACTAACGAGTTACGCTAAGCTCTTTTGCTTTGCTCAGGTGTACCTCAAAGTTGGAAAACCTCTCGTCTATGCCGCTCTCAATGGCTACAAAGGGACACTGTTGACGTATGGGCAAACTGGGACAGGTAATGAGTGTAACATGAAGTGGTAATCGGTTAGATGCAATTCTGCGCATGTGTTAGCTGGCTATACGTTACTACTCTCGTTCCCAGATCATTCTAGTCCCCAGAGCCTCCGTTTTTTTTGGTCACGTGGTCGGAGAAACGACATCTACTCGTCAACGACATCTTAAGACGAGTAGCACTGGGGACGAGAATGTTCCCAGATCTACTAGTTATAAAATGTACTCCTTTCGCCAACCACGTGCCTAAATGAAACGAGAGCTTTGAAAAGGAGAATTTAACTACCCTTGACCGCATTCTCGACCTCAAAGCTTCTGGCTTCTTTGCTGCTCAGTGAGCAAAAAAGAACAGCTGTTGGGTCGAAAATGGGCTTGAAAGTCGCTTCGAATGACGCAGTGTTAGTTAAGCGTTACAATAAATGCTTGAGAAATACCAAACCAATGAAATTCGTCGAAAAAGACCTCTTGATGTGATTGTTAAGATACTTTAAAAATTGAAATTTCTGGAATCTACTTTGTTACAGCTCAGTGTGCACCCTTAAGATCTAGCCTCCTGTGCAGACGTCACGTTTACCAGTCACGCATAACAATGTTATTCGCGCAACCCTTTCCTACAAATTGGTACGGCTCATACAAATTGGTACGGCTCAAATCTCTTAGCCGGGAATATCAAGAAGTACCAAGCCATGAACATCGGCTTTAGTCAGAGCAATGGTAACATCCATGTAAACGGAGAGGAAATCAAGACCACGGATAATCTTCAGCTTTTAGGCGTGACACTAGACTCCGATCTTAGTTTCTCCGACCACATAAATCTTAGCTGTAAAAAAGCTAGTCAAAGAATAGGCGTTTTAATGAGATTAAGAAACCTAATTCCTACGCAGTCAAAACTAACATTGTTCAAATGCGCCATTTTACCCTACGTTAC